GCTTTCGTTTTAACATTTTATCCATGAAATGAGTATAATAATGCAAAACCCCTCATTTATGAAAGAGCAGTTGGGTCCAAACTGTATTTCCAGCAGATGGGATAAATTAAGGTTACCTGTTTAGATGGCTAAAGCTTTCTCTGCTAGTATTTGTGGAGAAGACATTTAAGATTTTTCATTAGCCTAATTTCCAATTTTTTCCCTCTCTCTTCTGGGAGAAACATCTCCCTAAAGTTTGAATTTCAAAGAGTGGCTCTTAGGTCCTAGACAAGATGGAGACAGAAAGTCTACATCACAAAGGCAAGTTTTCCCCAACATGGAGTTTAGGGGGCATACTTGCCTATAATCAGAGGTGTAGGATAATTTAAAGTTTCCCTTCTTTTTCTTAAGGGCAAGACAATTCTGTTTCCCATGTGTCAATGTTTACAGCAAGATTTCCAGTGAAGATGGAAATCAGAAGATTATTTTTTAATGTTCTACAAATTCAGGGTTTACTACATTATATCTTTTAAAAGCCTATATAAAATGTTGAACAAGGGCCTCCCAGGTCGCCTGGGTGGCTTAGTCGGTTAAGTGTCGGACTTTGGCTCAGGTCATGATCTCGCAGTTAGTGAGTTCAAGCCCTGCATCAGGCTCTGTGCTGACAGCTCAGAGCCTGGAACCTGCTTAAGATTGTGTCTCCCTCTCTTTCTGCCCCTCACCTGCTCACACTCTGTCTTGCTCTGTCTCTTAAAGATAAATAAATGTTAAAAAAATTTTTTTTAAAAACAAACCAAGGGTCTACAGATGCTCTTCTTTCTGGTGCAAAATTCAACATAGACCAATTCATTTTAGGGGGGAAAGCCTCTAATATGGCTCCTCTCAAGCTGTGACTATCAGCCTCCAGCTGAGCCCTTTCTTGGTCATTTGTAGGAGGAGACCTGAGATGTTCTGTCCGTGTCTCCTGTTCAAGAGGGGTGGTCCCCAGGGGCGCAGCTGGCTTGTCTGATAACCACAGTGTAATCGTGGGAGGAAGGGACAACCATTAACAGCCAATCGAGGTCCTAGCATGTGAGGTTATGAACGGCTGCTCATCTTTCTACCTCCTCTCTGCACTTGGCAGGATCCTCTGAAAGCGGGGGTAAAAGGCTTTAGAATTTAGAAGATCCGCTGCTGTGCAGGTGACGTGAAGTCTTTGCAGGGGGGTGGGGGTGGGGGGGCACAAGATATATCCACCGAGAACATGGTGTGGGGAGGCCTGAAGCCGGCAGGGCCTGATTACAGAGTCCTGGAAAGTAGGAGGGATGGTAAGGGGCAGGAGGGACAGCGAAGCGAGCCTACTTCCTGTCCCGAGAGCTCCTGCTAAAGTCACTTCCTGACCTTTCGTATGTCTCAAGCCTGGAGAGCAGGCCCCGCTCTCTATAAATCTTACGAAGAAAGGGAGGTTGAAACAGGCAGCTGGGTGTTTATGGGATTTTCTGGGGAAGGTACAGGAGTCTTGGAATGTAAGGAAATTTGCTGAGGTGGTGGGACTAGATTTGAGAGGGGTTAGACCAGGGGCTCAGAGATTCAAAAGATCTTCTTGAGGGTCAAGGACAGGGATTCGGGAATAAAGGGGTGTATAGGAGGGAGGAGAAGAGGGTTTACATTAGATACGGACTCTAAGTTTTGTTCTAAGTCTCATTTCTGTTCTTCCATCTTTTTAAGAGAGTCCCGAAGGCTAGCTGCTATCCTTCTTTGTGCCCACTTTTAATTTGGTCTTTCCATAGGTACCAATAACACCGCTGTTTAGGATCAGAGCTCTCTAAAAAAATTTTCAAATATAGTATTTTGTCCCATAAAAAGATTCATCTTCTGGCCTTTGACAAGTAGGCAATTAGGATCATCTTTTAATCTCGATAGCAACTGAAACCAATAAGCCTTTGAGCTGCTTAACCATGGACGCAGGAGGCGGGCCCAAGGACAGAGCAACAGATGCAGGCTCACAAGATGCAGACAGCTCGTTGGTCCCTGCGTGAGTCCGGAAAGCAAAGATGTCACAGGCGGTAAGAGTGGTGTCTCAAAAACGGTGTCTCCGGTCCCCCGTGAGAGTGTGAGAGGGGGGCGCCCGGGTGGCTCAGTTGGTTAAAGGGTGAGTCTTGATTTCGGCTCAGGTCATGATCTCAAGGTCATGAGATCGAACCCCAAGTTGGACTCCATGCTGGCAGCGTGGAGGCTGCCTGGGATTCTCTCTCTCCCTCTCTGTCTCTCTCTCTTGCTCTCTTTAAAAAAAAAAAAAAAAAACACAAGAGACAGAGAGAATGTGAGAAGCCTCCAGTCATGGAGCCACTCTCTGTGGCAGGGGGTGGGGTGTGGGGGACCCTACTGGAGAGGGACTTTTCCAGCACTCAGGGGACGTTGAGACGGCAGCCCTTTATGGACAGGAGCCCTCATGGCGCACCACCCGGAGAGCTGGTACGGAGAGAAGGGATGCCGGCCACGAGTCCAGGTGTGGCCTGCACTCCGACCGGCTGGCTAAAATCGGGTGCTGGCACGGGACCCCCCTTTTTCCAGATCCAGGTGACTCAACCACCCCCCAAATGCATCCTCTGACTGGCAGAGACCAGAGACGATATTCTCACTGGTCACAAGGCCAAGCTCCGGAGACACAGAACAAAACAAAAGGGGAACCTCATCCCACTTTTCCCGTGCGCACACTAACAGCGTTAGCCAGAGCCGTGGGGGCCTCGGAGCCACCCCAAAGCCCAAGCGCTGGCTTGAGGACTGCGTGGTGTGCGGAGCACCTCTCTGCTCGGAAGTTTTCTTGAGATCCTGGGTGGCCCTGTGTCAGTCTAACCCGTGAGCAACTTAACCGTGACCCGCGAGCCTTAGGGGCGGGTGACACGGGCCCTAACGGCTCCTAAGTGCTTGACCCGTGCCACCACCTTTGTGCTGTGGCTCCTGAGATAGCCCCTGACGCCAGCGTCCCCCTCAGGTGCACATCAACCCAGGCAAAGTGTATCCAAACAGACACGGGCCTGATGAGGACGGTGAACCCATCCGGCAGGGAGGCCGCCTCCAGCAGCAGGGCCTGGGCCCGCGCTCTGCCGTCTTCCGCTTTCCCTCCTTCTGACAAAGGACACGGCAGACAGAGACAAAAGCAGGAGCATTTGTGTGAGGAATATGATCCACACACAAGACCCCCCACCCACCCCCCGAGTTGCTGTCCCAGGGAATGAGCTCCACAAAGATTTTCTCCTAATCTCAATCGAGAAAACTGTTCCCTCCCACTGCCCCCGGGGGGGCAGAGGTCGGGGAAGGCGAGGAGCTAAGACTTTACTTCTGTCCGCTGTTCGTCAGCCTCCCAGGACCCCCCGGCTGCGGCGGCCCCCGCGACAGCAGTGCCTGGCTGGGGAAAATCCCATCTGGGCCACCAAACCCGTAGGGGCGGAAACGGTTCCCCTCCTTCCCTTCTAGGTGCTTTGGCTGCTCCGATAATTAGGTTGACAGAAGACGGAGTAGCAGGAAAGACAAAGAAGCAAACAGAAGTTTAATGACCTGTACATCCCTGGCTACGCGGCAGAGACCCCCGAAAACTGAACCACCTTCCGAAATGGCCAAACCATCCCTTTAAGCTAAAGACAAAGCTGGGGGCGGCTGGGGGCGGGGCCGGTTATGGGAGGTGACCAGGAAAAGCACAGGGTCAGGGATGTTTTGCAGAGTCAGTCCCCGCCTGCTCTGGTGATAGATTTAGCCACCGCCCCCTTCCTGGCACCACGAGGGGGACCCCTGACACGTGGCGGTCTCCCTCGGACTCACACATGCGGCTTATAACAGGGAAACTCCCCCTTGGGTCTCGGAGTTTCTCAAAAAACAAGCAGCCTGAAACAATCGCTGTGCCAAAGAGGCGTGTTTCGGGGGGGGGGTGTGGGGGGCACCCTCTGCTCCCCATCAGTGACATCCCTAAAATCACACAGCCTGCGGTCCCCGGGGCCAGGACCCAAAGGACGGCTTCCACCCCCATGCCAGGCCTGTGGCCACTGTTCGATGGTGCTGCTTCCGCCGTGACAAACGACAGCCTGAAGTGAAGGCGTTTACAAGAACGAGGTTAAATAAATACCTACCAAGCGGTCAGAAAACAACGAAGAAAGCCTCCGGCCCAAATTTACGGCCTGCAAGGGCCCTCCATCCAGAACCCTTGCTCTTTGGCGGAAACGCCCAGCGACACACCGGCCTTCGCACAGGAAGGGAGACATGTGAATGATCCAACGTGTCTCTTGTTCTAAGAACCCTTTAAGGATGTGAGTTATGGGGCCTTTCCTCTCGCCTTGGTTCCTTTAAATTATGCTCCTAGCCTGGCAAAGAACTCTTAACGGCCTGGCCCATTAATCAGGCCAGCCATAAATTTCCTGCCTCATTGCCCTGTGGAGAATCCGTCTGGAAGACGTTCACGCCAGAGGAGTCTGGGAAGCTCCCACAACATCAGTGGCCCTGTCAGGTCAGCACCCCCTGCTGCGCTCCAGAGCACGGGGTGGGGGGGGGGTGCGGAGCCCCGGGGCACATGCCTGGCCCTCTGCGGTGGCTGTGTGGTCCCGACAAGCCACTTGCCCCCGCTGGGCTCCACATCTGCAAAATGGGAATACTCCTATTTCTCTTTCTGGATTGCTTTGAAAGTTATTGAGACAAAGTGTACGAACCAAAGGGTGACGGTTAAAAGATCCGGTAATGACAACAGTCTGTCCAGGTGCACAGCACAGCACAGCCCTCCCTCAAAGCCTCCTTGGCCTTTGCTCTTGCTCGGCTGGAGAAGGCCCCTCCTTCCCCACCTTGCTCCGACCTCCACCTCGGTCTTTCAGGGTGCTGCCTGAGGGTGCCTGGCAGGCTTAGTCAGTAAAAGGATGATCTCTGGGTCGTGAGTTAGAACCCCCCACTGGGCCTGAGGCCTGCTCCAATGGGGAGCCCCTGCATCATAACAGTGGAAGAATTGGTGGGCCTGTAATCTGCTGAGACCTCAACCAATCCTGTCTCTTCCGACTCCTTGAAGTGCACAGCAGGCACAACAGGCCACCCAGAGGCCCATGAAATTTGCACGCCCCAGCTCTAGAGGCTGGTCCTGGTTTCCAGGGACACCAGCCAACCTCACAGCCCGAGGGCACCGTTTTCCTGAAGGAGCACCTCTTCAGTGGCTGCAGTACCTTTGCTCAGTTCAGTGGTGAAACAGTAATACCAAGGTTTCAACTCAGGTGTGTAGCGCATGGGTATGAGTTGAGACTAAATTTTACTTTATTTTATTAAGTTTTTATTTATTTGGGGGCGGGGGAAGATAGGGACAGAGAGAGAGGGAGAGTCCCAAGCAGGTTCCACACTGTCAGTGCAGGGCCCAATGTGGGGCTCGATCCCATGAATGGTGAGATCATGGCCTGAGCGGAAATCAAGACTAGGATGCTTAACCGACTGATCCACCCAGATGCCCCCTGACTAAATTTCAGTGCTGGCCACAGCATCCGATGGGTACCACCCTAGAAGGGGTGCGTACTTCCAAGGAAAGCATCACCTCTCTCAGAATGAGCCGTGAGGGGTGCGTAATGGTGGCATGTACTTAAACATATAACTAGATTGGTGGGCACAGCCAGAATGAGCACTGATCTAAGACCAGCAGATTAAGCTTGACTGAGTACGAGATCTCTGTGCTTTCAGAGCACCTAAACCCTTCCCCCGAGGCAGGAACGCTGCGGTCCCCTGCTCTTGCCACATTTGTAGGCCTAGTCTTTGGCCAGAAGCTCTGGATCTCGATCTCTCTCTCTCTCTCTGTCTCTGTCTCTCAGCCGAGAGTCCAACATACAGCCATCCTGGAGAGAACACATCTCTAACACCTATTAACCTTAAAAACAAAACTGCTCGTTATTTTACCAGCAAAAATTGATTTACTTGGAATTAGCAGAGAATTGCAATCCAGGACGAGCCACGGGAAACCCAGAGGCAAGTCCGATGCTCAAAGGAGGGGACCGTCCTTTTACGGAGGAAAGCATCTGTTATCAACCAAAATCCATTGGGATAAATGGGAGTTCAACTGTGTGGCTTCTCATTGGCTGAGTGGTGACTGTCTCTCATTGGCCAGGCTGTTGCCGGGGGAGGAGAAAACCTTCCTTCCTCCCTCTGGTGTAGTAAGGTAGTATCTTCCCACAAGGCACCTCTCTTCCCGGTGGGTCCCAGGGTGAGAATGCCCCCTGCCGGCCTCCTGACTCCATTCTAAGTGAGGATTCCTAGGGGCGCCTGGGTGGCTTAGTCGGTTAAGCGTCCGACTTTCGCTTAGTCATGATCTCGCGGTTCGTGGGTTCGAGCCCCGCGTCGGGCTCTGTGCTGACTGCCAGCTCAGAGCCTGGAGCCTGTTTCAGTCTGTGACTCCCTCTCTCTCTGACCCTCCCCTGCTCATGCTGTCTCTCTCTCCTAGAAATAAATAAAACATTTAAAAAAAAAAAAAAGAATCTCACACTCTTTTTCTTAGGAGTCTCTGGCAGCTGAGATTGAGGGGACCATGCGTAAAAAGTTGAGTTTGGATGAGGAATCTTCTCTCTTCAAACAAAAGTAAGTACAGATCATATGTATTATTACCCAAGCATTGGGATGGAATTANTCTGTGCTGACTGCCAGCTCAGAGCCTGGAGCCTGTTTCAGTCTGTGACTCCCTCTCTCTCTGACCCTCCCCTGCTCACGCTGTCTCTCTCTCTCTCCCCTAGAAATAAATAAAAAATATTTAAAAAAATAAAAAATAAAAAAAAATAAATGAGGATTCCTAATTTTCATGCACCCATCTGAAAGTTAATGTGGATTCCTAACCCTACCTCAAAGAAAAGCGTGTGTACTAAAAATATATATATTTAGATAGGCTAGTTTTACATTTGTTGTGTTACAGGATTCTATAATAAATGTAAATGAAGTAAAAAGACTCCTTCCACTTTACTACATGTCTGGTCAGTAAGGCAAACCTAATGTGGTTTGCTGTAGATCTCTGGCCTTTGCAAATCTTCCTCAGAACGTACTCCTAGCCCTGTATCTCTTCTTAAATTAATTCCTGCTTCCTCCCCTCATTACTGTATAATTCAAGTCATTATAATACCAACAGCAAACAATAAGAGAAAGATGAGGGAAAAGTATAATTTTTTGAAAAACATTTTTTGGTGCCTCTTGATTACACATATGAGATTTAACCCCTCATCTTCTTTTTTTTTTTTTTTTTAAATGTGTTAGATCTTTTCTTTACCTTTTGTTTTTTAAGTCAAAATTTACCTAAAGTGGGATGCACGGATCTTAGGTATACGAATCAGTGAGTTTTGACAAATAAGGCTGTGTGACTCAAGCCCTTAGTGTAATACAGAGCATTTCCATCACTGAGGAGAGTTTACTCCTACCGTTCCTCTGGGCCTTCCTGCCTAGCCCCGGCCCCAGAGACAGCCGCTCCTGTGGGCTCCCTCAGCACAAATGGACTTCATGCATAGACTCAAATAGCGTACACTCTTTGGTGTCTGGTTTGTTTCACTCAACATAATGCTTTTAAGATGCATACGGTTTCATATGCCAGGAGTTTGGTCCTTTCCCTCGCTGAGTAGTACTCCACTGCATGAATACCTCACCATTTCTTCATCTACTCTCCTATGGATGGAAATTTGGGTTGTTTCCAATTTTTAGCTAATAGCAGTGAAGCTGCTATGAAGGTCCTTGTACAAAGTTTTAGTGGATGTATGTTTTTACTTCTCACAGGTAATTCTGGAAGTGGCGTTCCTTGGTCATGGCGAAGGTGAGTGGTTAACGTGAAATGAAACAGCCATTTCCCCGAAGCATGGTGCCCCTGATGACATATCACAGCTGCGGTGAGCACATCCACCACAGCACTGAGTGCTGTCGGTCTTTAATGTTAGCCATTGTCCTGGAGTGTAGGAGAGAGAAGCTCATTATGGTGTTAGTCTGCATATTGCTGATGAATATCGAACACTCTTTTATGAGCTCATTGGCTATTGATATTGTTTCCTTTGTGAAGTCTATGTTTAAGTATTTTTTTTAATGTTTATTTTTGAGAGAGAGAGAGAGACCGCAAGTGGAAGAAGGACAGAGATACAGACGGAGACAGAGAATTCCAAGCAGGCTCCAAGCTGTCAGCATAGAGCCCAGCGGTGGTGGGGGTGAGGGGGGCTCCAACTCATGAATCTAGAGACCATGTCCTGAGCCGAATTCAAGAGTCGAACACTTATCCAACTGAGCCACCCAGGGACCCCTCTGTGCAAGTATCTTGCCCCCTTTTTAACTGGGTGGTCTGTCTTCTCATTACTGAGTTGTAAAAGTTATTTTCCTAGAAGTTTTTTCTTCTATACTTTCCTCTACAAATGTTATAGTTTTAGCCCTTATATTCAGGTCAAGGATCCACTTCAAGTTAACTTTTTTTGCATGATGTGAGATAGGGGCTGAGGCTCTTTTTTTCCACATGCAAATCCTGGTGCCATTTATTGGAAAGACTATTTTCCCCCCATTGAATTACCTTGTCATCTTTGTGGAAAATCAATGGGCCATGTAAGTGTGGATCTATTTCTAGAGTCTATATTCCATGCCAATGACCTGTCTACCTGTCTGTTGACACAGTCTCAAGTGCATTTTATGGGGGAGACAAAGATGAATCAGTAAGTTGATAGTGGTTGAAACTAAGTAATGGGCACAGGTAGTAAGTTTATTATGCTATCCTATTTTTGCATAATAAAACACTTTCAAAAAGAGAGAGACAGCTTTAAAAAGCATGGAGGGGGTACACCTGGCTGGCTCAGTTGGTGGAGCACGTGACTCTTGATCTTGGGGTTGTGAGTTCAAGCCCCACGTTTATTTTAAGAAAATAATTTTTTCTTGAAAATAAAAAGCATGGGGGAAAGGCTAACCTCACTTGAAATACCAGAACTGTAAACTAGGACAATCTATTTTCACATCACCGATTTGAGGTTTAACAGTAAGACTCCATTTATCTTGATGATAGAGTTGTAGCTTTACCCTGACACACAGAAACCACGCCATCTATTCCAGAGAGATGGAATATTTCAATGCAAACAGTATCATAGAGGAAAATTTTGGAGAGTGCTTATATTGTCCTGAGGTGAAGTGGTCTTTCTTAGCACAGCAGAAAAGTCCAAAACTATAAAGGAAATTATTGAGATCTAATGCCATGAAAACATACAATCCCCATATGTTAAAAAAAAAAAAAAATCATAGACAAATTAAAGGATGAAGGGCAAACAGGAAAACATTTGCAATATATAAAACAGCCACAGGATACTTATCATAATATATTAAAGTCTCTTTAAAATTCATTAAGAGATGCAGGCGAGCCTGGCTGGCTTAGTCAGCGGAGCATGCAACTACTGATCCCAGGCTGGTGAGTTCCAGTCCCACACTGGGAGCAGAGATTACTTAAAAATAAAATCTTTAAAAAAAAAATCATTAAGAGATGCAGACTTCAACTGCATTAGTAATGTTATTTTTGAGTGTCTGCTGAGTCAATAAGTTGATCTATAGATTTTTTATACCTTTTTGTTTTTATCAGACATTTTATAGTAAATTTAGGATAATGAAAATAATGAATAATAATAATAATAATAATAATAATAATAATGAAAACAAAATAGAGGAGCTCCCCCAAAGAAAACTGACAAACAGGTAAATAAGTGCTCAGATGTGATATAGTTATTAATAATAAGAAACATATAGGGGCGCCTGGGTGGCTCAGTCGGTTAAGCATCCGACTTTGGCTCAGGTCATGATCTCACGGTTCATGGGTTTGAGCCCCGCATCCGGCTCTGTGCTGACGCTCAGAGCCTGGAGCCTGTTTCGGATTCTGTGTCTTCCTCTCTCTCTGACCCTCCCCTGCTCACGCTGTCTCTCTCTCTCAGAAATAAATACATTAAAAAAAAAAAAAAGAAATATATATTTGGCCTTCGTCCACCGTGCCTGGCACGTAGTTCCAAAACTTGGAATTTCCTGTAGAAGAACCACAGGGACATCTGTTGTTACAATACTGAGTTTTGTTCTGGTTGCTGAAACAGCTCCAGAGCAGTGAAGGTGAAGTGCGTGTCTTTTGTTATTTATAACAAACCCCTTTCCACCGCATCTCACTTCTCGGTTTAGGTTAACGGAGTGACTTTTGAATGGGCCCCTGAGGATGGGGACTGGTTGCCAGAGTAACCAACCTGTGATTACAGGGTTGGAACTTCAAGCCCCGCCCCCAGCCCTAAGGAGGGGGGAGGGGCTAGAGATCTGAGCTCATCACCAATGGCCAACGATTTAGTCAATCGTGCCTTTGTAAGGAAGCTCCCATAGGAACCCCAAAGGCCAGGGCAATCCCGATTAGCTTAAACATGGCAGCCTCCTACTGGGGAGTGCACCTCTCACTGGTGAGTCAGAGACCCACCGCACTTCTAGAACCACGATGTGTAGACCAAGCTCCTGGGGCTGACAGGGCACCTAGCTGAGCTCCATTTGCCACGAAGTAACAAACACACTGCTCGCTGTCTGCAACAAAAATCCTTTGGAGCAAACACAAAAATAATTATGGGTTGACCTGCCCAAGCCCTAGAATTAACTGAATTGTGTGAGACGAACTTTAGAGAAGAGACTGACTTACAATGGTTATAACAATAAAGACGTACCCCGACTTACCCACACAGGGCACATTCCAGGAAACCTCAGGGATGCCCAAAACCTGGGTAGTACCGAACCCTACAGATACTGTTTTTCTGTTTTTTTGTGTTTATTTATTTTTGCGAGAGAGAGACAGACAGAGAGCGAGTGGGGAAGGGGCAGAGAGAAAGACACACACACAGAATCCAAAGCAGGCCCCAGGCTCTGAGCTGTCAGCACAGAGCCCCACACAGGGCTCCAACTCACAGATCTTGAGATCGCGACCTGAGCTGAAGTCGGACACTTAACCCACTAAGCCACCCACACACCCCACCATGTTTTTTCTTATACATATATACCTATGATTGATCTTAACTTATAAATTAGGCACAGCAGGAGGTGAACAATAATAATAAAATAGAATACGCCAGTATTCTGTAATAGATATGTGAATACGGTCTCTCTCTTCTTTCTGTCAACATATCTTTGTGGGCCGTCCTCACCCTTCTTCTTATGAGGCGGGAGGCTGATAAAATGTCTCCGTGGGGAGGGGAGGGACACCAAGTTAGGCTACTATTGACCTTCTGACCCATTGGCCACGGGTGACCGCAACTAAGGAAAGCAGAAACCGCAGTTAAGGGGGCACGACTGTACAAACCAACACTAACCTGAATGTTCTGGTCTCTTTCAGTCGGAAGAAACCCCCTTTGCTGCTTTCAGCAAAGGGGATTTCCGTGCACAGATACCCTGTGAGAGCAGCACGGATGGTGGGCACAAACCGGACCCCTGAGGAGCCAGGCCTCGATCCTGGGCCCCGATGACCAGCGCTGGCCACAGGTGATGTGTTGAGGGGCCCCTCAGTCCCTCCCTGCATGGCCTGGACTGCTCTCCGGCCACACCCCCCAACTGTCTCCTCCTGGTGGCTCTTACTCACTGTGCGAGAGAGCATACTCCTTGCTCTCTGCCTCAAAAACCTCTGGCCAACGCGATGATGCCTAAAACAGGCGTCGCTACCCTCTCCTGTGGCGCCAGCCCCTTAGATGACATCTCAGGAGCCTGTGATCGGGCCTCAGACCCCCACTCTGCCTTCGCCCCCTCCGTTTTGCCTTTGGACTTGATGTTCCCGCAGTCTGATTTACTCAGTGCTCGTGTTGGTTTCCTGTGGAGGCTCTAACAAACTACCACAACTCGAGAGGCTTCCTGCGATACCAGTGTATCATCTTGCAGTTCCGGAAGTCACACGTCCAAAATGGAACTTGTTAGGTTCAAATCAAGGTGTTGGCTGGCCTGTGTTCCTTTCTGGAGGCTCTAAAAGAAAATCCATTGACTTGCCTTTTACAGCCTCTAGGGGCTGCATGTACGCCTTAGTCTGTGGCCCTTCCGCCATCTTGAAAGCCAGCAACACGGGCCAGGAGCTTCTCACTTTGCCAGTGCTCTGGCTCCCCGTCTTCTGCCTCCTCCACTTACAAGAACTTTTATGATTATGTCGAGCCCAACCAGCCAGATAACTGGAAAAACTTCACCCCTCAAGGTCATCTGATTAACCTTAAATTTCACATGCTACCTTAATTCTTCGTTGCCATGTAACCTAATATATCAAAGTTACTGGGGAGTAGAACACAGATGTCTTTGGTGGGGGGACATTATTCTATATCCGTTAAAACACCATGGCATTCACGTCTCTCAGCCTTTACCTACACTGTTCCTTCTGCCGAGAATGCCATCTCCCTGGTGCCCATTCATATTCCTCAAACTCACTTATTGTTCAAGATCCTTCCCAAGTTGTTATATCCTCTGTTACCCACTCTCCTCTTCTGAACCTGTAAAACTCTGAATCATGCCAATACTGTGTTGTGACGATTATTTACGCACACCGGCCCCATTAGCCTGAGAACACCCAGGGTCCACCGTGTCAGGACCCTTGCTCGCTCGACAGAACGATAGCGCTGCTAGATCAGCTTCCCCTTCATAGATGGGGGGCTGTATCTCCAGCTTGTCTGTTCTTCCTTGGGTCTACCCGTCTGTCTCTAGACCACAACCACTCTGATTCTATTGCAGTGGCTTCACAGTTCTGACGCCTGGTAAAGCAAGTTCCCCACCACCACTCACCCTGTGCCCTATCGCTCACCTTCCTCCTGCGTTTCATGGCTATTGTCTCAGGCACTGCCTCTTCTATGCTGATGGTGATGGCTATGCAGGTGTGTCCACGCACCAACACTGATCAAATCGTACACTTCAAACACGTCCATCAATCAGAGTCCATGCAGAGTGCGGCCACCACTTTGGGAATTTAGCCAGGTGGTTAGACTAAAACTAAGACTCTTTCCTTTCCTTCTTTATGAAACTAAATACTTGACCTCATATTAATCATCTGGCTCCTTTGGGAGCGCCTTGGTGGCTCAGACGGTTGAGCGGCTGACTTCGGCTCAGGTCATGATCTCATAGCTCATGGGTTCGAGCCCCACGTCAGGCTCTGTGCTGACAGCTCAGAGCCTAGAGCCTGCTTCAGATTCTGTCTCCGTCTCTGCCCCTCTCTGCTCACACTCTGTCTCTCAAATAAAAACATAAAAATATAGTTTGGCTCCTTTGGTACTAGTCAGTGCTGTTGGCTAATCACCTCTTCCGGGATGGCTTCTCAGGTACGCCAGGTGGCTCGCGGGGAGTACCCCGCAAATGGCTTCCACAGCACTCCCCTGCCCCGGGTGCCTCACAGCAGAGTGCCAGCAACGGGGTGCCTGTCAACCGCCTTCCCTCTACAGGGTCACAGGAGAGAGCTGCCAGCCCCCCCTCCCCACCCTGCGGGGCCTGTGCAGCAGCCCTGAGGCGGCTTCGAGGGTTCTGACAGGCGATGCCTCCCGCTGGCCAGCTTCCCACTGCAGAGGGTGGGTCTCACACAAGTCCTTCTGGTGAAGCCCCTCGGCAGATGTGTCTGTGACCACACCCCCTCCAGGAGGTCTGCAGGTTAGCTGCGTCCCAGTGCAGATACCGCTGCCTATATCCTATACTCTTCTGTCTCTTAGAATTCCTGCACTAGCCAATCACCCATTACTCTGGTATTCTTTACACTAAAGTTTCCCAATATAAATTGCTATTTGGTTTCTGTCTTCTTTTTTTTTTTTTAATTTTAAATGTTTATTTATTTTGAGAGAGAGACAGAGAGCAAGCAGGGGAGGGGCAGAGGGAGGGAGACACAGAATCTGAAGCAGGCTCCAGGCTCTGAGCTGTCAGCACAGAGCCCGACGCGGGGCTTGAACTCACAAACTGCAAGATCATGACCTGAGCCAAAGTCGGACACTCAACTGACTGAGCCACCCAGGCACCCCTGGCTTCTGTCTTCTGATGGGACCATGACTGACACACGGCTGGGAAAACAGTTCTGCAGTAAATGTCAGCGGTCTTTCATGGAAAAGGAAGGATGATGGAGAAAGTGGTGCCCGGAGCCCAGGAAAACCAACAGCTGTGGACTTGACCACCAAAGACCCTGGAGTGCTGGCCTCATGCTGTGTTCCAGTCCCCTCCCACACCGACAGGGCTGACTGGTGGGCCAGGAAGATGTTGTGGACGTGGCAGATTGTCAGGACAAGCCATGGAGATTTGTGGCTTCTACCTAGTGCTGTTCTTGGGGCTGAAGGGAGGTGCTATGTCATGAGGCTACTGCAGGGCCCCTTGGGGAGGTCCATGCGGGGAGGAACTGGGTCTTCTGCCCAAATTCAGTGAATGGGTGAGGCCTCCAGACAAGAGCCTCTAAGGGAGCTGCCTTGGCGGGGACCCTCCGGCCCCAGTCAAACCTTCAGATGACTGTTGCCTGCACTTTAGCGACCCCACCCTGAAGTCATCCAGTGGAGCTGCCCCCAAACCCCTGGCCCAACGAAACTAAGAATAAGAAATTAATTGTTTCTTAAAGCCACTAATTTGGGAGTTGGGGGGAGGGTGGTAATTTGTTACGTATGTTACATAGCATTAAATAACAAATACACATGGGCTCAGAGTGTCTCCCACAAAATGCCTGCTACTTACAAAGGGGAAATTAGTAACTTTACACTGGAGAAAAATACCACTTTCCTGAAGTGATCAAAGTTAGCATCACCAGTACTGAGATATAAGGAAAGCATAGGCCTCCTGATAGGAAGCACTGAGAACTGCACACGTTCATTTCCTGGTGTTCTTGCCTGAAACATGCAGTCCTAATTTAATCACAATAGGCATCTCACAAGTCAAAACTGAGGAAAACTCTACAAAATAACTAGCCAGAGCTCTTCAAAAATGCCAAGGCCCCTGGGGAGGGGGGAGGGGGGAAGACCAAGGAAATGTCTCAGAAGGAGACTAGAGATATGTGACAAATCAAGGCGGTGTGTGGCCCTGGATGGGACCCGGTATGGAAACCAGGGGAAGTCTGAAGAGATCTGTAGATTAGTTCATAATAGTGTCCATTAGTTTCCCGGTTTCATGACTGTATTAATGGCTACATAACATGTTCAGTGTTGAAGACACCGGATGAGAAGTATCTGGGAAGTCCCTATCCTACCTACGTTCGTAACTTATTTAAAATCCTGAAATTATTTAAAAATTAGAAGTTAGAACTCGTATCTTTCAAGAATGAAAGTCAGACTTATTTTCAAATATCAAAAAAATTTACTACTTCAACAAAGAAGAAACTAAAAGGTTTTCTTTAAGCAGAATAAAAACAATCCTAATTAGAAGAATAAGAAGAATTGCATCAGGGATACAAGAAGAAATAAGGAGTAACAAAGAGAGTAAATCTGAATTTGGGTAAATCCTAGTGAGTGCTGACTCTAGAAAAAGCAAGCAGAAGTCTATTGTGGGCTAAAATTACCCAGAATTAAAATATGATAACAGCATGTAAACTGAGGAGTGTTTACAGTTTAAAATCTCCTGAAGTCCTTGCATTGTCTAGGAAAAGGGTAAACATGCTTAAATAACATTAGTCTTTGATAAACAAATGTCACACTTTTAAATCTCTATAGTAACCACTAAAAATAGAACAGAACGTTGGATAACTTACAGACTAATGGGGGAATTGAAAAATTGCAATGGAAAAATAAAGTTGAAAATAGAATTGAAAAATATACAATCAATCCAAAAGAAGCAGAAAATGCACAGGAATAGAAATAACAGACGGGTGGTGATGGTGGTTAAAGAGTAGACGTACAGTACAGTCCCAAATAATAGATCATTCCAAATATATCAGTACTTCTATTAAATCTAAGTGGACAGAAGGTCTGGTTAAAAACGAAAAGACTTTCAGACTGGGTAAGAATACATCCATGATATATACTATCCGCTGGTTTGCAAACACACACTAAAAACATAAGGATATTAAAAGGCTAAAAATAAAAAGGATGGCAAACTCTGCATGGTGCAAATACTCATCAAAAGATGGCTGGTGTGGCTGTATTGATTATAAAGTACCGTTTAAGGCAAAAAGGGCTACTAGACAGAGATGGGACATCTTCTCCTTGGGGGAACCCTGCATGCATTCTCACTGAAGTGAGGAGGAAGAAAATACCCACTACGTCTCTGCTACCTCCATAACCGCCCAGGGGCTATTAGCCTGTATCGTTAGACATGGCAGAACATAGAGATAAGCACTGGAAGGAATGTATAAAATATCCCGATCTACAGATGTAGCACTGCATTCTGTAAAAATACAAAGATGACATGGACTAAACCACTGAAAACCATGAGAAAATGTTGTAAGATAGCAGGGTCTAAAATTAACGTAAAAGCCAATGGCCTTGGGACACCAGGGTGGCTCACTTGGTTAGCCGACTGACTCTTGGTTTCGGCTCAGGTCATGATCTCATGGTTGGTGAGATCAAACCCCATGTCAGGCTCTGCACTGACAGCATGGAGCCGGCTTGGGATTCTGTCTCCCTGTCTCTCTACCCTTCCCGTGCTCCTGCTTTCTATCATCTATCATCTATCTATCCATCCATCCATCTATCCATCTTAATATCCAATTTTTTAAAAAGCCAATGGCCTTCATATGTTCATAAAACAACCAGCTAGAAGATCCATGGATGAGAAAAACCCCACTGAGGGCAGAAACAAAAAAAGAAAACTATCTAGGTGTAAAAATAACATGCAACATGGAAAGCTTTTATGCAAAGAACTTTAAAAGACTCCTGAAAGACACAGAAAGTTTCACAAATGAAAAGACATAACCATGTTCCTGGATACAATGCTAGCTTAACATCAAAAGAAGCCGATTCTCCCCAACTCAACTCGCAATTTACAAGACTTTCTTCTGAAATTAGTTATTCAAAAATCCTCAAGGCGAAGAATGAACAAGGAAGGGTGTCCCCGACAACCCGAAGGGAAGAGGGTGGGGCTGCCAGATGTCACGTGCGCCACACGGCCTCTGTACTAAGACAGCGTGGTTGTGGCGGATGGACGGCCTTACAAACCAGCGTCTAGAAGACCCTAGGAGCTGTGGGTTCCTGTATGACAGATGGTAAGTGCGGGATCTTGAACGAACGGGGGAAGATGGGCTTTTAATGGGTGGTGTTGGGGCACCCGTGTAGCTGCTTGGGAAATA